TCTTCCCACTTCCACCAAAAAAAAAGGCAGAACCAAAACGATTACGTGGTTAGAACTAGATGAGTCACCCCGTTAAAATTGTACCTTTGTTGTCGCTGTCCTTTTAGCTTTGAAAGTTTTACCGGAGGATGTTTTAATTTCTTGAGCACTTTGTTCCTCTTTGATTTTAGAGGAAAAACTACGAGTACGTGGCTCAGAATTTCCCTTGGAAGATCTCGCCGCCGTTGCATAGCTTGATGCCTGAAACAAATGTGAGAAGGTTGAGTAAGTCAGCAATACTGTGACGTCCTGAATATAACCCAGGGACCAAAAAACTGTATGAAATTTAAACAGATCTTAGCGAGTTAGTTGCAATGTTAGCCTGACTGATTGATTATTTGTTTGTCAGAAATTGCGTATCACAGGTCAAATATGAACATGTGCCCAAGTTGTGAAACGAACCCAGGCACATCTGTTTACATTATGTATAGCACATGGAAGTAACCAATCCCACCCTTTGCTTGAGCTTCAATGGGACGTAGTGATTACCACTGTGTCCGAAGTAAAGAGTGCCAACTGAGGGACCCAACTGAGGCTCCACAACTTTAACGAAATTGTCATCCTGTAAAATAAAATGTAAAGAAAACAATTTATTACTCCTTAGTTAAAAACTTAATTTCGTTTTCTGAAAGCAATGGAAACAAACGTGAAACATTGGATGACAACAATTATTTACCCCATGCACTGTAATAATCATGATCTTGTAGTGCATCACATTTGCAAAGGCGCTAATCACTAAAGAATTAGCATAATTCTTTTCCAGGATCTTCAACGCTTCTGACCACACAGCAGGCACCTTTTCACCACCCATATCGACGTCACACAAGAAAGCCAAGCGGTCATTTCCCTGGTCCTATTATGAAAAAAAAAAAAAAAAAAATGTCACAAAACCTCGTACAAGAGACGGCTTTTCAGGTGGTTTCAAAACTTTAAACTATTAATTTTTCCTAAAAAAAAATGTCTGCCCAATAGTCTTTCAGTGTGCGCAGTGAGAAAAGTGTGATGCCCAAAACGTTGCTTTTCAGATGCTCTGTTACGAACATTGTGACAAATATACATGCAGCTCGTTTAAAGTGAACCTCTGAACTGGGAGGCAAGGAAAATTAGGCTTAAAAATAAATACACGTTAAGGAAAAATAATGAGCCCTAGTGTACAATGAAAAAAAAAAAGACTTGGATTAGGGCTCAATTAAGGAAAATGATGTAAAAACTAAGTACAAGAAAAATATTTCATTTCATTCCGTTTGTTTTTAATACTCTTATTAACCGGGCGTCGCTTATGTCATCATCTGTTGTCGGTCACGCAGTCACTTATACTACGGTTAAATAACTTACGTCAAACTGATGGTTTCCCAGATAATTAAAAATGAGGTTGTGCAAGATCTCCGACTTAAGTCCCAGTTGAAACGCTGCAGCCCGATAGAAACAGCTTCCATCACCGGGAGGATTAAAAGCAATTTCAAATCCTTCTTCTTCTATCCTCTGCCGAAGTTCCATTTCAATTTCCATTTTCTAACAAACCCGAAAAAGTAAAATTTACTGTTGACAAAAAAATACTTTTACATTTCGCAATGTTAACCTCGTCTGAGGCTGTGCTGAAAATGTTCAAGAAATGGAACTAATACATTAAAAATACATATATCCGAATCTCACTTACCTCACTTGAATGATTTCGGAAGTAAACGCTAAAAAAAAGTACTTTCTACCTCTCCTGATAATTTGTTCCGACTGGAAGGAAAAAAACCCACTGCACCTCTTTGGTAACGTGCCAAGGAAGAACGCGGTAAAGGAATGGGCTCTAATATATACTTCTGTCCGAGAGAAACTGGGTTTGAAAACAATCAAAAATGGCGCATGGACTTATGAGTAAGTAGTATTGTACGATATATTTTACATACATGTTAATTTTTTATTTGATATATTTTTATTTTTCATTTTTCATGGCTCGCACCCTGGCTCGCATGACTCGCATGGCTCGCAACCTGGCTCGCACAGTGACTCGCATGACTCGCATGGCTCGCACAGTGACTCGCATGACTCGCTGGCTCGCACATTAGGCAGACCCCAGTCATAGCAAGGAATAGAATGAATGGCGTCGGTTCGTGTCTTTTGCAGGGACATGTAAGCAACATTTCATCTGCCGTTTGGTTCGGATGTTGAATTTTTATCCTAAGTGCATTTGTTAAATTAAAGAGGAAAAAAAAAATTCGAACGGAAAACAGTATTATTTTAACATCTGGATCTTTTGAGAAAAAGTCTTCAAAATGAGTGGCCTTGATTATAAATATTTAAGCATGGTAAACACATTAGCCTTAACTTGGCTGTTTCTCGAAGCTCCGTGTTTTCCTATTTGCCTTCTTTTTCGCATGAAATGGGGGCAATTGAATATATATAAAATACAGTAAAAGACCTTCAGCCAATGGAAATTTTGAGTTTCTTATCTTAGGTTGTGGATACAAACTTATTAATGACTGAAAATATAAAAATTGAGAACAAAATTTTTGAAGAGTTGCTTAGCTTTTCATTTTTCTGGAATTGACGGTCAAGATTGTAAAATTCAAGTGAAAAGTAAGCCAACTGTGATAAATGCCTTGAACAAGTTTACTTTGAAAAATTGTGTAACATTTTATTTAGCAAAGTATACTGTTGACATTTCGGCTTTACAACATGATTGTTTTCTGCAACTACAACTGATCTGTCTCTATATGAAGTATTAAAAGTTATTTCCCCACTGACCACTCTTATCTTTCTTCCCCTGCTCATTGCCAATGATGCAGTAACTCCCCTGACTGTAAATATCACGTGACCCCATGCAACCCCAAAGTCATAGCAACTGCAGTCATAAACAGTTGATTCTTTTTGAGCTGAGTCTGTGTTTTACCACTGGTGTGCAGTCTTTAGTCTGCATTTTTTACTCAGTCTGCATCTTACCCCTGGTCTGCAGTCTGCAGTCTGCATTTTACATTGACCAGATTTCCAATCTTTTGAAATTTTCAATATAATTTTTTTTTCAAGTGAGATTTTAAAGCTGACATTTCAAGCATTAGCCATCATCAGCTCTGATGAAGGGTTAATGACTGAAATTGTAGCTTTAGAAACTCTCCACATTATCAACTAATTTAATAATTAACAGCTTTTCATCGAACAATAGGTAAATATTATTTTTACTATATGCGAATTCCATGGATAATAAAGCAACAAAAGGTGATTTTTACTCATTTATTCCTGCCACAATTTCTGTGCACGTTTTTCGGATTTAAATAGCAAAGGATATTTTTGTGGAGATAGAGTGGCCAAGCAAAGCCCGCCTGCAACTTTATCCACTGTTTTAGCACAAAGTAAAACCAAATTATCTTGTTATAGCCTCCACTGATGCAGCTCAATAGTTTCTTTAGAACTTACCCCTTTATTTTTTTGAAGTTTAGCTCACTAAATGTGATTGTGGAATGTTGGATACCAGGTGCCGTGGGTAGCTATAAATTACATGGTAGGATAGCCAAGAATGAGTGTAATTATTGTTTTGGGAACTGTGTCACTGGCCTTTAGTGGGGACCACTACCTGCTCCCTCTGAATAAATCCACTACAGCTCATGCCCATGGCTCCAAGCAAATGAGATGAGCCTCATGGGTAATTATGATTGAAGGATAAAAATGTTTTCAGCCCATCCATTTTTTCTCAGATTAACCTTACAGGAATATGTTCCCCAATGCTTACTCTCCTTGCTGTAGTAAATCCCCCTTAGCACCAATATTTTTTCTCTGCTCCTGATCGAGTTTCTTCCAAGATGACTGCACATTATGGGGGAAACCTGGGGGAAGAGAAAATTTGAGCACTTCCATTTCCTTCACCCTTTAACTCCCAGAAGTGACTAACATGCAACTTCTCCCTACAGGTTTTCTAGCAAATATTTAATGAGAATACTCAAACTTATCAAGTTGAAGTTTTTACCGTGATATTAAACCAAATTCTTGTAACTAATTTAAAAGGGATTGTGTAGCAGAAAAAGAAGAGAAATAACAATCAGATCTTGGGAGTTAAAGGGTTAAAACTATTAGAGCTTGAGAGTTTGGCGTATTTTTGTTTCTTTGACGACAAATCTTGGTTTCTGGTAGAGTTTTGTTTCAATTCTTTTTATTATGTGGTGTGTAGATACTAGTAAATGGTTGCATGTATAGTAACGACCAATATGGTTCAGGTCAAAGCCTATTGGGTCTTTTCAAGATTGATCAAATAAGATGAAGATAAGCTTTATGCACATGTCCCTCTGTGGTTCTCTGTTCTTGGATGAATACCATGAATTTGAACCTTGGTAGCCATGTATTGTACACTTGCTATTCTTCGACATTAAACAAGAGATTGTAGGTTATCCTATTCTTTCAACATAGCATCGAAGACTGAGAACCCAAAACTCTCTCAACCCTCCCCTTCCCCATGGATCAATGAAGCAGTTGCCATACATATTTATAATAGCCTCTATTTGGCATGAAAATGTGTACAGATATTTTTCTGCTATGTTGTCAGTTCTGAGATGCAAGCTTTAAGGAATATAGTGTAAAAGGACAAATATACAAGGATATTTCAGTGCCAAGTAAAGGCTATTGTGTTTATTATCCTTCAAATATTTTGTAAACACATAGGAAAAATGTTTATGAACAACGAAAATGTTTTCTGCATGGGATGTTTACCTTTTCAGGGTTTTTTTCAGTACAACTTCATGAACAAACAAACATGTCCCTTCTGTAACAGTCCCTTCTGTAACAGTAGCTTAATGCTGTTTCATCTTGAATTCAATTTTAACATAATGACATAAATCTGTATCTTTTCAATTATAGTGACTAAACTTTTATATATATATATATATTACACTCTTAAGAATAATTGTCATATGCTCTAGGTCATCTGAAAACTTTTGTAAGGTTAATATGCTTTGTTTTTAGGGATGCATTTTTTTAAATTTCAGCTCAAATTTCAAGAATAGCTACAATCAGTCCATAGTGTTCATGGTGTAGCATAGACCTGTGCTGATTTTTCTGATCTCAGGGTATGCTGCTAACCAGGGATAACAAACAGTATGGTGTTGTGGGTGAAGGTAAGCAATTCTAAATTAAGAAATCATGAAGCCCTGGGCAAGTTGTCCACTGAAACTTTTTATTCAATACAAAAGCACCAGTTTGATAGAAATCACTTAGTCAAATGTTCATCAATATCATTTTCATCCTCTTTTTTGTCCAGCATGGTACATTGAAGGCTGTAACATTTATTCAGCATTTTTTTGATCCTGCTATGCTTACAGGCCTAACTTTGTGACAGATAAACTAAAAACAGCCTACTCTTTACAGTCCTTACGAGGTTTCGTTCAAATGTGGCTATTACACGTTATGACTTTGACAGCTTAGGAATTTCTAAATGTTTTAGCTTGAAATCAGAACTGTAATAGCTATGTAACGTAGCAATTTTAATTATAGGGTTTTTTTTCAGTTAATGGCATAGAAACCACTATACAGCACTTAAACTACCCCACCTGTCTTACTTCTCCGCCCTCAGAGGAGCTACTCAAATGATCCCTGTTAATTTAAGAAAGACAGTTTGCTTTCAGAAGACGTTTATTCATCCTCGCTCACAAAAATGATGTTGATAAACTCGGTTCCCATGACGACCTTGGTATCTTTCCATCTTAAAATATAAATGGTTTGTTCACTATGTGGTGAGGATATCATATTTTTGAAACAGGAGAATTCCTAGTACTGCATTAATATCGGTATAATAATATCAAAAATGTTTTACCTAATTTATCGAAATAATTGACAGGATAACTATGGAGAGACATTTTACATACCATTGTTTAATACTTTCTTCGATAGTTTCGATAGATAGTCTTCAATAGTCCCGATTTGGTTTCCCAACTTGTCCAGTTTATACGTGATACCTTCTACACTCTTCTGCAATTCTTCAAGAAGTTCTTTGTATTTATCTTCAGTTTCAGGGTCTATGCAAGCAGTTTCAAGATTTTTAATCTCTTTCTGATACTTAATACCTCCCAGTCTTACTAGAGCGTTCCGGATGTCAGACCAGTATTGGTTGAATTCCGCTTCATCAACTGAAGCGCGCTCGGCATAAGCGTACACAGTGTTTCTGTAATATTTCACACGAGCAATGTCTGCTGCAGTGCTCTCATCTGACTTGGGAGGAAGGTTGTTCCATCCTTTCGAGGGTTCAGATAAGTCGCAGATATTTCGAAATAAAGTAGTTAAAAGTGTGATGTCAAATCCTGCTGATGACACTTGAGTAGGGTCAGAAGGAAAAAGCTTGTCCATCTGAGCCGGATAGAGAATCCTTCGATCCCTCAGCTTCTCTAACTCTGCCTTGTTTTCCGCCAAAACTGCGTGAAGTTTTGCTGGGGGATGGATTTCATCGAATTTATCTCGGAGGGCCTGGGTTCCAATATCAACCAGCAGACGACACAAGCGGGCATAGTTCGTTCTTCCCTTAGTGGATGAAGTCGGTGGTGTTGCGCAAGCCATGAGGAAAATTTGCTATAAGTAAAACAAAGCCAGATTTATAAATAAAATGTAGATGAATAGCATCAGTAGCTATGGATAGAAAATCAGGGTGTTTGATGGTGAGCTCAATACAATTCAGATTTCTGTCCCAGTAAGTTTATATCGTTCGCCATACACAATTGATTAGCCTGACTCTTACATCGATAGACAAACGTTCATTTATTCAGGTTTGTCAACGGGGCTTATTTCCAAAAAAAAATAATTTCACACACGCCAACCGCCTCAGAGTTTATTCTATTAATATATATTATTGTATATATATATATATATATATATATATATATATATATATATATTGTATTATTACATCTATTTAATTCATCCATCCATTTGCAGACTATTTAAGGCTGAATTTATTTCATTTTTTTAAAAAATAACCAAAACAAAAACAACAATCAACAAACTGACCGACACATTAATCGCATGATTTTATGACTTACATGAAAATGGAAACACTGGCTTGCACTTTCTGCCAGCTTAAAGGATTGTTATATTGTTCAATTTTGCTCTAATTTTGAGTTCAGTGCCAAACTTCCTGCAAGCTTGCTTTTTTTGCTCAGCATTTTCCCCTGAGATCTCCTGATACGCACAGCTAGCACAATATTTTCTTTTCTTCAACTCAAACGAAAGAGGGGTCCAACATTTTAATTCTTGGGGGAAATGAGGGCAAACGAGAAACATCGTGTGAAAACTAAAGGAATAGGACCTGCCCTTGAATATCGATCATGTTTTTATTGTTTTTTAAATTTTTCCCTTGGGCTGCTCTTTAACTGATGATCAAAAAATGCAGTTTGACAGCATAGCTTCGAGTGTCCCATGTGGGCGATGGTGAAAATTGTTTGTCAGGGTAGAAAATTGTTGAAGTGAAACTGAACGAACCTTTGCAAATAATACTGAAAGAAAGCTTAACAACAGAATGGGGAACTTCTGAAAACTGTCAGGTGAATTCATCTCATCTCATTAATTTGGGGTACAAATTTCTTTCTCTGCCCAGCCCTCCGCTACACATAAAGTTGTCGAAGATTCAACCGTGTCCTTGACTACATACATACATATATATATATATATATATATATATATATATCATATATATCTAATCAAAAGGCATAATTATGTGGCATTTTTTTCAGCTAATTGAAATAAAATTTATTGTGAAAGGAAAAAATGTGTTTGGCAGGTGTACATTCAGAATTCGTGAAAAACGAAAAAGACAAAAAAGATGTGTCATGATCATGTGTAAAAACTGAAAAGGTTACGATTGCTGGAAGAAGGAAGCAGTTATTTTTAAGACAACTCTATCAACTTCATCCTCAATGTTATTGACTATTGATTGCTGTGAAAAAGGTTAACTTGGATTGCATCATCACTCGGCTCCTTTAACACCCAAGATCTCATCAGCAGTTCTCCCTATTGCCTGCCATTCAATCCTTACTATGTTAGTTCGGAGAATTTAGTATTGGATCAACTGATAATTCTCAATTTTTTTTCTTACTCGTATCAATTGTCCGCTTGAAATTGCCTTAATAGTGTAAGAAAAATTAAGTCACTCATGGGAGAAAAAGGGTTAAAACAATGTAGCAGCAATCTAACGGCGTGAAATGAAATGCTAATCATACACACTTTAGCCCCGACCTGGCAAATTGTAATAAAATGTTGATCCTGCTACACGTACTGATCGATCGACATGCCACAAGTTTGTCTTTTCTGAGAGGCAAGTGCTCAAGGTTGCATAAAGAACTTGAAAAGCGCACTTGTTGCCAAAGTTCCTCTTCGATGTGCTACAATATTATGTATCAACCTGTCGTTCGAATTCGTTGCGATACTCGAACGACTGTAAAAGCACCGTTTCGTGTGCTACTCTAGCTAAATCTTTGGGAGCTTACTTATTTTCGGAACTAATCGACCATACCGCTCACTTGAAAATAAGGAAACGCTTTTGATAGTTTACGCTTAACCTTTCTCAGTTTACGAAATACCATAGGAATAAAAGAAACAATTATGAAATACACTGACCGGCTGGAGGTTTTTAATCAATTGATGAACGAATTCTCGCTATGATTAGAGCGATATGGTCTGCTAGATCCGTTTTTCGGTAAGCCGAGCATTAGTCGTGAAAACAAACCTGTGATGTCTGAAGTTTGACAAAAAGATTCCTGAACGGTGAAAATCGGATATCCGTGGATCACTTGAAGTAATGCGGAGAAAGGACGGGTTGATTTAACCATAACTCATAAATAGAGT